ACTTAACTTAACGTAAACTTTAACTTTAACTTAAGTTTAGTTTAGTAATTAGTTCGCTACTACTAGTAGTATAGTACTACCGAACCGACCGACCGACGTGTGTACTAACTAACTACCTCTCTCTCTCTCTCTCTCTCTCTCTCTCTCCATGCTCGTGCTTCCCAAGATGAATTGCTAGTAACTAAATGAATAGAACCTTGTAACTCGTTTTCCTTTTGCAATTGATAGTAACTCAAAACAGTTATATTTTAAAATGAAGATATTCCTAAATTTTTCTTGTGTTTTTACATAACCATTTTCCATATTTAATTCACCAATTTTAACCCTTACTCCTCGTCTAAAGACTAAAGTCTTCATACCAGATCAGGAGAAAATGTTCAAAATTACACATTCCATTTAGAGCTACAGCCTCTTCTTAAAATAGAAGATCAGTTGGTCTACATTGAAGAAAAGCTGTGAGATAACAATAGCTTTGTCTCATATATACAACAAGAGACAAGTCTTAACCCCCCCTACTCCATTACAATATTCGTTCCCCGTACAACATATTTCTTCACATAGAACATATGTCAAGAATGAGAATCATGCATTTTGTGCTACTCGTTACCGAGTATGTATGCTGGTAAGAGAAGGCCTCATCGCATATGAAGCAGAAGAACCTCTGGGTTTTCGATCAAGAGCTTCCACTCATTGCAAAATCTTGCTACCGTTGCTCCATCAACCACTCTGTGATCAGCTCCAATTGTCACCTGATACACAGCAATAAATTATAAATAGAAACAAGCAAAGACTCATAAATGCAGACATGCATAAACACATGCACTTGTATGTTCAGTTGCATTTTGAGGTTGTGTAGTTGGTTTTACTATTCAGCAAATGATTTGCACGTGTACCAATTTACAATGGGTTTGGTTTTACATATACATGCATAGATGCACATACTCATCCAGGTATGTAGATATTCTACATGAACATGGTTTACAGAGACGTGCATAGATGGATATATACATTCACACATCAATGATATCATCGTCATCATCATAGCTTTCTCCCAATTAATTGGGGACAGCTACATGAATCCTGGTCTGCCATTCTGCTCTATTAAAGACCATACTCTCAGTGAGGCCAAAAGTCCCCATATCTTTTCGAACTCCTTCCAACTCGTTTTGAATCTACCCCTTGTCATTTTCAATCTTTCTACTTGAACTAACTCACACCTTCTAACAGGTGTTGTACTGAATCGGCGCCACACATGGACAGACCACCTATGACTACTCTCTCATTTTATTATCTATTGGTGCCATACCTAAATTTTTCCAGATTGATTCATTTTGAATATAATCCCTTCTTGTCTTGCCACTCATCCATCTCAACATCCTCATCTCTGCTACACTCATTCTATGGGTATATTGTTTTTTGTCCACCCAGCATTCCTCCCCATAAAGCAAAGCTGGTCTTACAGTTGTCCTATAGAACTTACCCTTCAGCTTCATTAGTCTATGACGATCACATAAAATTCCAATTGTACATTTCCACCTCGCCCACCTAGCTCTAATTCTATGTACGACATCTTCATCAATCTCTCCATTTCTAGAATTCTTGACCCAAGATATACATTCACACATCAAATCCAAAAACATGTAGGTGTCAACTATGGAACTCTATGCATTTGTGATTGCACCTAAGTATGCCCAAGTGCATATATAGGTCGTGGATATCTTCATCTTATGCATGATTTGAAGAATTACCAATTATTATTATTCTTCAGTAGTTATATTTACCATCCATGAATACAGGAACCCATCAAATGCAAGGCTGATGCTTAATTTGGAGGTGTAACTTACAAGAGCTACGGATGCAGGGTATATTGTCCCATCATCCGCAAAACGGGGGAGCTTTTGGATTCGACCAATAGCAATTATAGCAACCTCTGGCAAATTGAGGAGTGGATTTCCAAACTTGCCTCCAACTGCACCAATGTTACTTAAGGATATTGTTCCACCACTAACATCATCTGAGCTCAACTTGTTGCTTGATGCCAGTTGTTGCAATCTGGACAATTCCTTGGTTATCTGAAATACAGATCAAATGCATAAGTTTATAAGATGGGCATCAGTGAGCAATACATATTGGGATTTGTCATGCTATAATATCACTTGAGTTTCCTAAAGTTTCCTAGCATTACTCCAACCATTCAGTGTTACTTTGAGAGGAGGAATTACAAGTCAAATAACCACTTTTTTTCACATCCTATGGTAAGTGGAGTGCTAAGAAAATGTTGGAAACCAAATTGATACAATATAAATGCTTCAATGGCATGGCAATGGAAGAGTTCTTGCACAGAAGCTGGGTGTTATTTAATGTCATTCACATCCTATGCTTAATTGCCCAAAAAGAATGACTGAAGCATACCTCGAAAATGGAAAGCAATTGGACCTTCTTTACATTTGGAACAACAAGACCCAAGGGCGTCGCCATTGCGATCCCCACATTGTGATATCCTAGATTTGATGCAAAGAGTGATCAACATAAACAGAAAAGTGAGAAATGCCTCAAGTGAGCTTTAAATGCTTTGTTAAGTGTACCAAGAGAATCACATGTGGACGATTTTAAAAGGCATCAGTTTGTTTTTTAAAAGAGGGGGGAAAAAAGAAGAAGACTCGTACAGAACTAGCAGTTGCAATAATTGTATTGATGCAGCAAAAAAAGAGACTCCAAGAATACCATTGCCTGGGCCTCAGCCTCAGCCCCCTGCCCACGGCGTCTAGCCCATCTCTTCGATGAAATCGTGCATATAACTAGCCCACTTAGTGCCTCGTGGAGGCACGTATGGAGGGAACCAAATGCTGAAGCGGACCTCCTAGCTAGGGAGGGAGCTTCCAGTAACCCTCCAGAGGGGTTTCTAGGCACCTTTTTGAGCTACTGAACCCTTTTTTATCCGACTCCCACTGGTGGCTTTTAGTAAATTTTCATTGGGATTTTTTGGGCCCCATGAGGTCTTCTGTATAGGGATCCCTGTTGTCATGGGTAGCCTACTTACTGGTTTACCAGTTTTACTTAACTTGTCTACTATTAATACAATACAGTTAACTTCATAAAAAACCGGAGGATCTATGAAGTCCATGAGAATCATATAACAAGCACCAATAGTAGGACTTAAAGAGTGATACAAAATGCATATAAACACCTGGGAAGATTTATACAATGTATTCAAAAGATTAATTCCTTCAACAATGAAATGGAGTTAGTTTTCACATACATGAGCCCAACATCTATCCAGTATATCCAATTTTGAGCGTCACTCTATCAAAAAAATAAAATCTTGACAACTGAGCATATTAATGATGGCATGCAAATTTACAACAGCGATGGTCGAAGATCGAGTACCTTTGTAAGTGACCTCATTGGACACCTCATCAAACATGCTATTCAATATGGGATACTTTTCCAGTGCCATCGAAAGGGACTTCACCAGGAATGGCAAGTAAGTGTGCTTGACATTATTATCACTACTTGCATTCTGAAAAGCAACTTTAAGTTCTATCAATGCATCACAGTTTATCTCTTCCATATAATGAAAATGTGGAACCTTTGCTGCCATGGTCATTGTTCTAACCATTGCTCGTTGGAATCCCCTATAATGAAGCAAAGTAGTCATGCATTCATTTTTGGAAAAGAAAGTCCATTGCAACAGGAGATGAAAACAACCAAAAGCCTACATAAAAAGAATCACAAAAGAAAATGGTATCATATAAAGATATGTGGGCCATCTCATCGGCATCTTCAGCTACAATATGATGGAATAGCTCCAAGCTCAGATAAGAGACTTTGAAGACCTGGTATTTATAATCACAAGGCAAGCATGTGCATTGATCCATAAGGTACATCAGGTGAAGGGTTATTCATACGTGTGATTCCAACTTGGCAAGGGGCCAATTGAGTTCATCTGGGAAAATGCAATTGACATATAAGGCATGCAAACTATAAGGCCCTCTACGGACGTCTTGGTAGTCATACCAAAGGATATCTTTAATTGCACTTATGGCCATTCCTAAAAAATGTGGTCTTAAAAGGTCATAGTCATTTCAAAGGACTCCTCCTGTTCCCCACCCCTCCTTTTTCATTTTTTGGGATAGAGTAAATAGGATTTTTTTATTATAGAGGCAATGACATATTGGGGGGCGCGTTTCCGACACAAGTGGGGTATGAAACCATAAGCTAGCCCATGAATTGTGGTATGCCAAGCTGGAATGCCTCACATTCTTTAATAAGAATAACAGAAACATATTTCTACTGTGAAAAAAGGAGCACCCAAATGGGGCATAAAGCCATCTATCTGCAGACTGAACGCACGAGGAAATTATTTATCAAACTTGCAACAGTTAAACAACATGCAGGAACTCGTGTTCATGAAGACCTTCTCCCATTAAAAAATGAAAATTTATAAAGTAAATTAGTCATATCAGTAAAGACATAAACATGAATGACAAGACTCATAGGAGGAGAAGAATGGTTCTCATGCAATCTCCCACAAACTACTGCTGAATCATTTTCAAAATGCAATCTGTGCATCAGTTTTTTATTTGAGATTAAAGGTTAATGTGCTATACCTGAGGGAAAAGGTCTTATCCCGATAAGGTTCTCCAGTCAGTTCCATTGCTTGTTCCTTTTCCATAGTATCATGCTTTTCTATACAAGATACTTCTGAGGAAGTCATTGAATCCTCAGGCATCACCTTGGTAGGACAACACCGAAGGACATCTTCTTTTAGCACCCTGCCACCTGGACCAGTACCTGTAATATCCTTGATATTAAGACCATACTGCTTTGCAAGATGGCGAACAGAAGGAGTAGAAGGGACTCTGTCAGCCATCTCTTTGTTCCCCAATGTATCAGAATAAGTTGACCCAAGTAATGCCTCAGTCTCAGTAGAACTGGATCCAGCTGAACTCAGAGGCCCATTCTGGGTTTCATTCAGAATTATGTTCAGAAGGGTCTCACCAACCTGCGGTGGTATTCAAATGAGATGAATATATTATCAAATGGCCTGAAAAGCAAACAAGTAACCGATGGGAGGGAGGGAAGAACCAATTTCATAGAGTACTTTCCCTTCACTATTTTGCTACAGCTTATACACAAAAAGTAAAAATGACATGTTCATGTTATAACTATGTACAGTTTACACACACACAAAAACACACTGACAGAAAGAGAGAGAGAGAGTTAAAACTGTCATACTGGAAGAGTATTTATCAAAAAAAAGCAACCCCATATTTTCAGAATGACAAATGTGAAAGAACTAGAGCAGTTAAGTTTAGCATGTTAGTTCTTTCTTGCTTTGTGTGTTATGGAAAGCAAACCTAGAGACAGATTCCACCAGCCAGGGCTTTCTTTCTTTTCCTTTTTTTTTTTCGGGGGGGGATTTTTTTTTTTTTTTCTTTGGTGGGGGGTGGTGGGGGGGGTAGGGGGGGGGGGAGCAGAGCTTGTAATTTCTGTTTTTGTGAACCAAAAAATATTTAGGCCAAATAAGAAGTTCCCACCCAAAGCAATAGTAGGATAGGAACCAATCCCAAACTCACTCTATGAAAATTTCAATTTGCATGTTATCTATGAATTAAATAGCAAAGTACATAAAAAATTGATTTAACAATTTTCCCTAATGTTTCAATATTTTATAACTATGTTCCCTAGATTTCCTTATTCTTTCTATTTTGGTACTTCTAGGCTATTTAATTATATTAAAATATATTTCATTTCTTTGGCACATCCATACTTGACAAGATGAGTTAACCATACCCACCATTCATCAAGCCATCCTTTATTCTCTAGGCGGCAAACTATCATTACAACACTCGAACTCCAATCAGTTGTTGAATATGTGGTTGATTCTTATACATGGATGATCGGGGAAGTTCTATAGTTCCGTTGTAATACCTTAACAATATCACCAGGAAGGAATCGGATTTGGGAAACTTTTCCCTTGTATCGACTTGTGATCTCTATGGTAGCTTTGTCACTCTGAACTTCACATAGAGGCTGAAACTCCTCAACTTGATCACCCTAATAGAAAACAAAAACGTTTAATGCTTTTAACAAGAACAAGTTATAAATAGAGTGCTGACCAATTAAAAAATATATGAGGACATAAACAGACAAATTAATATTGAATAATAACTCCTATGAGCAACTTGTAGAAGTAAAAAAGAAACGAAAGGATCCTATTTCTAATCAAGGACTTAATTGGTATAAATTGAGATTTTCTCAGTTTCAAAAAGGCAAAAATGGAGAAAAGAAAATGAATGACCATTGAACAAATTGAGAATGAAAAGCTTGAGGGGATTGAGAAACAGTGTTACAGACGTGTAATTTTCTATATTAATATATTCTCATCAACCAAAGGATTTCTTTATTTATAACTCTTTTGAACAATCTGTGAAGATGCACGGTTTCACTTTTCGGATCCTCCGAACATATTCGCTTTCAGGACAATATTTCCTGTAAAAGAGTAATCCAGTAAGGGGGATTTAATTAGATTTGGATACGTTCCATTAGCAAAACAAGGTTTAGGAGAGTACATCAGGTAAGAAAAAGGAATAAGATATGCATATTTTCAGAATGACAAAAAGAGCAGAAGCAGCACAAAATGAGAACTGTGGTCCTATGAAACTCGCTTGATAACGAAGCAGGAAAGACTTCCTTTTAGAAGTCTGTTCAAGGATAAATAATTACATAGCATTTAGGATTTTCCTTGAGCAATTATTCAAAATACTTAATATGTTTTATCAATATTATAATGATAAGGAATTTCCTTAGTGAAAACTTTCATATACTCATGCATCAATATTTTGCAACATGTTGGCTCAACTACGATCGAAGTTAGACCTGGTCTCGGCCCAACCTTCTCAAAGAAGAAGTGAATTAGAAACAGAACAGACCAATACAGTTTTCCAAGTTCAAGCCATGCAGCCAAGAATAGTGCTCAACCCAAGCAGCATGCCACCAACAAAATCATTGCAAGGCTCATGGAAAGCTAATTTTATCTTTCGATATAGAGATTGTCAAGCAGTGAAAGCGGAAAAAGGAAAGAAAAAAGGCACAACCTTCAGCAAACTTAGAAATCAAGTTCACCCTTCCCATGTGGAACTGTTAATGGGTTATTAGCACGGGGCAGAAAAATCAATACAGTAATATTAGTGGGATAAAGCAGTTGGTTCCGGGGTGTCCTTTGTCCAACTCAAAAGCCAATTTCCCTCCATCTGCCATAATAAGTGGTGAATACATTAACCATTTTTCAGAGGTGTTTAATAGTCGAAAGAAATTAGATGGGTCTCCAATACCATTATAATATTTGAAAATTACCTCAATGAGAGAAAGAAAAAGAAGACCTCTTGAAACATCTCAGACCTTAGCCAACCCAGACAGTTGTTGCTCCTTCCATCAAAATTAAATTTGCTAAAGCCCACAACACATCATACAAATTTTGTGAACGCGTGGAAGTTGTTAATACTTCATTAATGATATTACAAAATCAAATAACCCAAAACACCTTTCTAATGCCCACCAATATTAATAGGCCTTCCCAACCTTCCAATTGACTCCAATGCGAGGGTCAACCCAACCTATTAATCCAAATACATGGCAACAAACCTAAATGGCAGAGAAATTATGAAATAATTCTCCCTGGTCTCCACAAAACTGCCATATAGTCAGCATTTGAAATCTAGTGCTCTTCAAATGATTACAAAATCCATCTCTTACTAACTCGCACAAAACCTCCACTTAACCTGAAAAACCCCATATCAGAATCTGACCAAATATCCCCAGAACGACTCCAATTTATAGGACATACCATTCCTGTAAGGGAACTCCAAATGCAGGCCCTTCGGTGCACTTATCAACTGAATGCTAGCACTTCCTTATCCAACAATCACAATACAGGTGAGTTGCCAAACTTTCAACTACTAACTGGTTGAAAGTTGGAAACTTGTAGTGATGTGGCCAACATGATAATGCAAGTGAATTAGGACATGACATTGCAAGTTTAAACCCAAATATCATAGCATGAAAAGCATTCTTCTAATCAATGCTATCATGCTACCAGTCCAAGTTTTATGGGGATACTTGCATAAGACCAGATAAAGTATTTGAAGTATGCAACCATACTGATTAGAGGTTCTAAAGGAATACATATGGTGACTCAAATTATCAAAAGAGAGTTCACAATATCATACATCAACAAAGTAAATCCCTATGGTATAGAACTTGCCTCATGCACAAACCAACGGAGGAGCTCACATTCTGCAATACCTTCACCAGTTTGTGCCAGTGGTACTTCAACTATTCCTCCTACTGGAAGATCTACACAAGCTAGGTTTGAAAAGCAAATCGCATTTGGCCTCATTAACTGTATAACCTGCAACAGGGAAGGATAAAAGTTGGTAAGCAAAAAACCATTTTGAAAAAATAACTGGCAATAGCATGTGCCATCAGTTACTTCACAAGAAGTACATGACAAGTGCTTCCATAACATGGCTCCAAAGATTTTTGAAAATGGGGGACAAAAAGCTAAATATCGTCATTAGCTTTCATTTTTTCTTTCCAGTAAGTAATCCATCATTAGCTTTCTAGTTGATGTGATCTAGCAAATGATATTTTCCTAACACTAAGGCATGAATCTATTATGAAATTACAATTCATGAGCTTACTTAATGTGCCCATTTATTTCTCTAGTGATTCCTTCCTAGTATCTAGTAAAGCCAATCACTTGAGGAAACATAAGCAAGCATCACAGATGCATGCCCACAAACCTTAGAAGAAACTGCAGACTGGTGTTATTTTTTTCACAGAGCTCAAATAATCTTCGCTAAGTAATTTGTGTTTCTCTGCTGATTCTTTTCACAAATTACAAATAGCTTGCAATAGAAGTCAACAGTGAATCAACCTCGTGCAGTCTAAACAAATTATTTGCACTATGGAACTCTAGAAGATAAAAATTCTGTGTGTGTGTGTGTATGCGTGTTATGTGTGTATGTGCGTAAAAGATGTGTAAGCCTACCATCCTATTACACAGTATGGGCCAGCCAACCCAAATTGAAGGACAGGAGGAGATCCAGATGGTCTACATTTACCAAACATGCCAGACACATTTTAGCCCACATTTTTTGAGTACCCTTTTTTTTTTATTATTTAGTATTCCAAGAAGAGGCGTACATGTGTACAAAACTTGAAGTCCGTCAGTATTATACTTTTTTCCAAAAAAAAAAAATTCTAAAATGTGACACTGGTCATCGATTTCTATGACCAGTGTCTAAAATTCTATCTGGGCAGTTGCGCCTATACTGTTCCAGAGGCCCATAGGCTCATATGATCTCTCTCTCTCT